GAACAAATAACTAAGTTAAATAATTAGGCTAAGCAGCAAGCTTTGTTTCTTTTCCCGAGTTTGCTTACACATCCCTCTCCCTTCAGAGGTGTCTTTTAGAGTCACGGCTCGGCCCGGGTGTTGCGAGGGCTCTCTCAGTACGTCGGGAGTGAGGGTGAGGGAAAGTGAGGTCCATTCTGACCCTGCAAGAGCAGGAGAGGACTTTGGTGGCTCTGAGAAGAGACGTTGACCTTTCCATATTACAGATACAAAATGCGCCTTGAAATTCTGGTTTGTAAGGGCACGTTGGTTCTTTATTTACTGCAAAGATTTCAACTGATCTTGGCAGGACATCTCATTGCTATCCTGAAAGTACAGTATATTTATGCAGTGAAAATGATAAAACATTTATTACTGTAGAGAAGGTAATATGCATAATTTATGCTGTTTTTAGCACAATCATTAGTGATATTCTTGATAGATTTTATTTCCAGCTTTCATATCTAATACATGCCTGGAAAATTAATTTTATATCTTTCATTTATTTGCCTATGTTAAAATTGAGTTTTAAGTCATCTTCAAGTGAACAGTTTGATTGCTGCTCATGCATAAGCTTAATTACTTCCCAGGAAGGACAGTATTAAATGTTTTAAATGTCAGAAAAATAAATGAATATCAGCCGTTTGATTAAAAAAATAGGCAATATCTGACGTGTTTGCAGCAGGAGCTTTTTCTTAAAATGCCTCCGAGGCAAAATTTTATTTAGTCACAAAAAAGGAGAAGCCCATTATACTATTTATCATTGGTTGATACCATATGATTTGTAACACCCTTACAAAATTTTAATTTTGTATGATTAGCTGTGCATCATTAAACAACAGCCTTGCATAAGATATGCTGTAAAATTCTGACAGAATCAAGATAGTGAATATTTTAAATAAGGCTGTATAGTCATCCATGGTTGTCAAAGCTAGATAATAGGAAATATAGAGCAGCGTGTGAAATCGTGCCTTCATTTAAACTGGTTTTATAGGTAGACTTTAAAATGTAGTTGTTCGTAAATGCTATTGACCATGCAGCATGCATGGTGTGTTATTTTGGCCGTTAAATGTAAGCACGCACAGATTGCTTATAGAAACCATAATTCCAGTGATTAGTATCTGTATGAAAGCAGAGTTTGCATCGCATTTCTTGGTAAACGGCTCCACGAGGCTTTTTTCTTCTTCTAAAGATGCTGTCTGTTTAATTGGCAGAGAGGGACATCTTGATAATGGAAGTGTGAAGGTGTAACGCGTGTGTTAATTGATACTTCTTAATCACTTTTAGGTATTAAGTCATGATGCAGGAATCTGCGACAGAGACAATAAGCAACAGTTCAATGAATCAAAATGGAATGAGCACTCTAAGCAGCCAATTAGATGCTGGCAGCAGAGATGGAAGATCAAGTGGTGACACGAGCACTGAAGTAAGCACAGTAGAACTGCTGCATCTGCAACAACAGCAGGTAAGTTTGTTTTGCTTCCTGTTTGTTTTTAAACAAATAAAGGGCTGTTTTCGCACGGGCACCCTTCCGCAGACCCTCTGTGCGTGCTGAATGTGAAGTGTCGTGCAAGTGAAGAGCGTGGGGCGTTATTTGTTGTTGTTTTTGTGCACGTTAATGCTGAAACGCCAGGATCCTGTTTTCGTGGCGGCAACGTCTTGCTGATACCGCTGCACGCTGCCGTGCTCGCCTGGTGATTAAAATCCCACGGCGTATTTGTAAAAGTTGTGCCGAAGCCTTGCCGTGCATGTTTTCAGAATCTGTTAGTTTATGGAGCGATTCGGTCGCGTAGGACGTGATGCAGAGCTTTCCACCAGAGGGCCACATTACTTGAGACTTCGCTTCGCTTGCGATGAATTGTGCCAAAGTCGGAGCTGGGGTGAAGGGACCAGAGTGACTTCTCACAATAAAGATGCTTTTGCTGTCGTAGGTGTAAATAAAAAATGCCGGTTAGTTCAGAACCACAGAAATTAAAAAAAAAAAAGCATGTGCCTGTCTCTGTGTGCGTGAGTGAGTGTCATTTGGATGCGTGGTTTTGAAAATATGGGAAAAGAGAGAAGCAGCTTTTCTGTAGGTATGTTTCCATTCTCACTTTTAAAACAATTTTTTAAGTTTGATTGTTTGTTTTCTCGATGATTTAATGGAGAACTGCTTTTATCTTGAAAGTTGTAAAATTAAACCATTGTCTGACTGCTGATGCCATCTAATTATGAGCTGCAATCAATTAATTTTTGTCATTGTAAGATTTCTTTTCCTTTTAAAACCTGCACAAGCATCATTCTTTGTACTTTGTCTACCTAAAGAGTTGCCTCCCCGGCAGGGGACGCAGATTGTACTAATGCAGTGAAGCCAAAACGGTTTGTTTTGGTAAACAATTGGGGTCTGATTCTGCAGAGTGCCAGTACCTACTCTGAACTCCTGAAAGTCTTCAGTGTCTGGTCCTCTCATCTGCTGAGGCCACTCAGCACCTATGGAGTTCAAACCCTTCATTTGTAAATACTGAGGGTTTTTTTCATTACAATGTCGGGTATTGCATTAATGGAAGGAAAGTTGTCTCCTGGAAGATAAAATATTACAAAAATCCTGTTTAATAGAAACATGTTTTAACATGATAGATAAATTGCATGTGTATGGGCCTCTGAAATAACAGGTCATAATAGCTCTTAAAATTGAATCATTCTTAGTGCTGAATTAAGCAACGTACACTAGCTACATTTATTGTTAAAGATTTTAAATGGGGACAGAAAATGTGGAAGAATTAAACAGTTGTAGATTGAAATATGACAAGTTGTTAAGGCTTAAATCTGTGCTTTGCTTCAAATTCAAGTGTATTCTATTTTAACATTTGAGCACTTAAAGTATTACAGTCTGAGGAAATACAGGTTTCAGTGTCTTCAGTAAGTTCTTAGCAGGCTTACACCTCTCTCTCTCTCTCTCTGTCCCCTCTTACCTATATATGTACACTGTGTATATGTACTATTTCATGTAAAACTACATATATATACACATATATAAAAATTTAATATTGTTTTCATTGAAAAGCATGCCATCGCCTCTATGCAGGTGTTCAGATTATAACAGCATTTTAAAATCTTTATTGAGAGAGAGTGTATTTAATTGGGGAAAATGTTTAGAAAATTAAATTGAAGTGAAACACTTTAAAACACAAAAATACCAACAGAATAATGTGCCACTTACATGTTTCTCAAAGAAGCAGTCCTAGGCATTTGTAGCCAATTTGTCCATACAGTCACAGATTCCAGTAGATAGCATTTGCAAAGACCACAGAGAATAACAACTGAAGATGAAAATATCCAGTTGAGTACTAATAACAGACAGGTTCTGAGGGGACAGGCTTAGAAGTGACAATCTTTTCTTCAAAACTGTGATTAGATCTTAAATAAGCAGACAGGCAAAGTAAAACCATGGGTACAGTTAATAGGACTCAAGAGGCATTTTATGGTAGGGTCTGCACCACAGGATTTAAATACAACTTGAGTTAGGCATATAAATCCTTCTATAAAATATGTTGATGTGAAACATAAACACTAGTAAACATGCAGTAGGATGTCCTTTAGATAATGGGCATAGCTTTATGCTACTTTTGCTTTTCTTCCTCTTTTTCCTATTCCTTTTTTTTTTCCTGTTTTTGACCAGATGCTTTTTGAAATATGATTTAAGAGGGAAATTATGGCTGTTTTTATTATTGTCACTGTAGTAACCCTCTAAAATGTTATTTTTAATATTCGACTCGCCTGACAAACTTTGACAAGTAGAAAAACAGAGCAAATCCTATTGTACCTGCAGTTATTACTCTTAAGATTTTTTTATTGTTTAAACGTGTGCAAGATATAATGTACTGATGTCATAGTTTAACATTCCGGTTTTGGCTTCTCTGAGTCATTTTATTGGGGGCCTTCAAATAAACAAATCAAGTTCATTATAGCTTTTTCTAAAGGAAGCAAGTAAATGATTGCTGGTTTTAATACATTTTCTTCAGCTGGGCAACTACATAAAGCGATGCTAATGCCTAAGAATAGCTGCATCAACTGAGTAAAATCACAAAATACATTTTCTCTGTGGCATGAGTATGTACTGTGGAAAGTTAAGCATGAGGAATTTTAGACTATGTACAAAAAGCAACTGGGCTAAGTTAAAAATCTTAAATTATATATGATTTGCATCTTGTTCAACCATTATGTTCAGCAATTGGTGGATTTATAGAAAGTAAATAAGCTAAAATAACAGATTTCGTTAGGTTCTTGTAAGAATTATATGGAGTTTGGACAGTCCTGTTACTGGCTTGATGAACTATGTTGTTGTGATCTTTATATAGAAATGAGAAGTTTGACTTAAATCAGGGAGTTTATTCCTCATCCATGTATCAAGAGAGAATGACAGTATTCTATAATATATTGTAATGTATACTCGGTGATAAATGGATTGGGTGCTGTCACAAGTCATCAGGTCGGCTTTGAAGATGTATGACTAGAACGTAAGCAACTTTTTATCTTACTGTCGATATTTATCAATTTATAAATATTGCTAAAGTGAATGTAGATTTTTATTATTAAAATATGATGCAAACTGTAATCTGCTCAGACTTGTTTCTTCTGCTTTTTTTTGGCTTACGACAAGACATTCTCTCTCTCTCATATATGTACATTTGTACACTTCTGAGGTTTTCACTTTTTTTTTCCTTGTCTGTTAAAATCAGTGTTTGATACTAGAATGTATAATACATGGAAGAAGCATATCCTTGATTAAATACATTGACAGATTATTCTGCATTAGATGTAGAATTTTATTTTGATATTAAGTTTGTAGAATTAATTGTTTGTGTCACTAAGGTCAAAATAGTTGCTAAAAAACCATGATTGCTTTACAGGGTAGATTTGAGCTTGCATTTTGAGTATTCATTAAGTCAGTTCTACCAAGATAATCTTTTTAAATGTTTTATGGGAATTTATTGGTAAGAAGCTGTTTCAGTTGACTATGTTTAAAATTATTTTTCCAAGCAGTTTTATTTTTTTAGCATATCACTTACCACTAGCATTTTGTTGATGGAAAATACAAATAATACTTACAAAAGCAAAAATGTTATGTTAGCATTCAGGTTATCCTAATGATGTAGAAATAGAAGTTTTGCTTTCTTACATGTTTTGTCCTTGTGATTATGTAAAAAGGAGGAGGAAAATAATGGGGAGGGGGAGTTTGTTTATTACGTGAAGTCTTAAATTAAGCATTAACAAAACATTTACATTTCTTTATGCTGGACAGTAGTTCTATTTACTAAACCACTAGAAACTCGCATTTTGACTCCTTGAAAGTAAAAAATGAATTTTCTCGTACTGCAAAGGCAGTTTGTATTAAAAAGTGACATAAAAACCCACAACTGCTACACCTGTGGCAAAAGCTGATGCCATTAAAAATACTGATCATATGTAACTTAAAATACTGATGATATGTAACTTCAATATAAAACTTCTTATTGCATCTAATTGCACTTATTGCTACTTAAATTGACCACGTGTCATATTAGGAAAAAATGCTTCTTCCTAGCAATTTAAAACTGAAGTTAAAATTCTGGAGAATTATGCAGAAGTGTTACAAGCTTGCACGTCATAAACTCAGAAGGGGCAAGATTCTGTTAGGTTCATTCCTAGGGCTTTCAGAGCAGGTATTACCAAATTAGCAGATGTTGAACTGGTAAGGGAAAGTATATTTTCCAAATGCAGGCACACACGTGGTCTAATCTTTAATTTATTAGGGAATTGGAAATGTCCTAAAATACCAGCATGTAATTTCACAGAAGTCCTGATATGCCCCTAGAACTATTTTTGATTATTAGTCTTTATTTTTTTGACTCCTGCTGTGTGCTTCTGCAAACACAATTTTTTTTTCCCTGGGTGAATGATTGGAGAAGGGCTAAATTCAAGCACAGGCAGCCTCCCGCCTACTGACACTACAGCTGGATTAAAAAGAACGTATTTCACTTTCCATAGCTGCCATTCCAATCTTTGATGAATCCCTCACTGTCTGATTTTTCAAAAAATCTGAGCGCATGGCTGTTTAATATAACTGCCAGGAGGTGTGTCTCATCGGCACCACGCCTCAGTATTTCCACCTGTGAAATGGGGATGATAATATGTAGCTGGCTTACATACTTGTTTATGAAAACATTTATAAGGTAAACTCGTGAGTGCATAAGCCGAACGATCCCTTTAAATATTGTAAAAGCCCCATATCACACCTTAACGTGTTATTTTGTTGTGAATATTGATTTTCTGCCATAAAGTTTGTAAAAAGGTCTATTGCTTGTTCAGCTACTTTTCTAGAGCTTTCCTTCAAATAGATGTGAACATAAACCACAGTGTTTATTAGAAGAATATACATTAACACACAAATGCATATGTTAGGACAGACTACTATACAATCACAGAGCGATTTCTAGGGAAGCACAG